GGAGAAACCGCTCTCTTCCCCCGGACACATGGAAGAGGTCATCCGCCGCCTAACGGAGCTCTCGGCCCGCCAGCAGCAGTTTACAGAGCGACTGGCCGCCCGGCAGGAATATACTGACCGGGTCGTGGAACAGCTGCAGGCCAGCGTGGCGGGGCGCCTGCCCCTCCCGGAAGCGCCGGTCAGAGCGCACCAATACCTCGTCCGGTTGACCGAGAACGACGACATCGAGGCTTACCTCCACACGTTTGAGGTCATCGCGGCCCGGGAGGGGTGGGTCCAGGAAGAGTGGCCTCGCATCATCGCCCCCTTCCTCAACGGAGAAGCGCAGCGGGCCTATTATGCCCTGAGGGCACCCCGGAATGAACAGTATAGTGGGCAGTCCTGGAGTTAAAGTATTACCCTGTGGGGCCGCCGGTTCACCCTCGTCACTGACCATGCGCCCCTGCAGTGGATGTCCCGGGCGAAGGACACAAACGCCCGGGTGACACGGTGGTTCCTCGCACTCCAGGACTTCTGCTTCCAAGTACAACATCGCGCCGGGGCCGATCACGGGAATGCGGACGGGCAGGTCTGGCAGGTAACCAGAAATCCCTCCCCCGTAATACCCCCACAACGAGTTGTGTGTTTCCCCACAGGACCAGGGCGATGCCTAGGGGGGGGGAATGTGGCGAGTATCCCGAGTCCAGATTAGCGTCGCCCTGGAAACGCCGCTGCCCCACTGATCACCGACGCACAACACCTGTGCGCGATGAGTGGCGCACCTGGAGCTCGTTCCCGCTGGCCTTAAAAGCCAGGAGAAGAGACGCCAGCGGGAGAGCACCCCAGAGCTCCAGGCAGCATTAACGATTGTTCTCCTTATTTCACAGACTCCGAAGGCACCCAGGGCGAGGGATCTGCACCACGGCACTTCACCCCACGAGCACCAGTGTGAGACGGGCACCGAGCACCAGTCATCAAGGGCACGTGTGATCAGTGTGTGTGGGCAAATAAATCACCCTCCGGGGTTCTTTCGACCAGTACCGAGTCTGTGCTCTCATTCACCCCGCGACAATATATATATATATATATATGCTGATTGGATGCATGTATAAATATTTGATCAAATCTGATAAAATGATTAAGCATCCACAAATAGTTTAAAGTCAGGTAACATTTTAAGAAAACTAAAAAAAAACATTAAAAAGTCAAGACTTTCACAACATTTTCTAATGACTAGATATTTAATGATGATTTACAAGTACTTACAGTTTAGCATCTGAGCACATTCGAGAAGGGAAGTATAGTTGTCATTTTCCTGCAAAATGTCTACAGAGACTGTAGAAACAATCGTAACGCCCTCTATTACTGCCATTGTCTGTATCTGAAAAGGAAACAAGAACAAACTACCTGTCATTTTGACACATTCCCTAAAAAAGCTCTTGGTTTTCTGTCTCTTTCGAAACATTAGCAGTCTTACCTGTTCCTCAGAAATCTCCACCTCCATGTCACCTGCGTCCTCCTCGGCTCCAGTGATCCAGCGCTCTGTAGGGTGAGCAGTGAGGCTGTGCTGCAGCAACTTCAGCTGTCTCTCCCACAACTCCTGCCTCTGACTCCTCTGCAGCTCCGGCAGAACCTCCGCCAGGTCAAACGGATCCGCCCCATCCTTCTGTAACACAAACAGTAATGAACAGTATGATCTTCTGAATAACACAGACTGATGTTTTAGCTCTTTCTGTGTCCTTGATTTCACTGGTAGTTCAGAAGACTGAATGACGTAGACTTTGCTTCTTTATTCTGAATGTAAACTCGAAATATTTAAGAAACAACAGCATCGTAAAGTCAAAATACAAGGTCTTGTTTGTCTTTTGTTCTCTTTAGTTGTTTGAACAGTTAAAACATGTATCCTGTGTAATTTACATGAAGTAGATTACAATAATGTACAATGCCTTGTGAATAAGAAGTGTGAAAAGCGAAACTACTTTGTTTGGTCTTCCAAAAGAGGAAGATATCCGCTTCGTCACGCCTGGAGCTGATCTGTGCTGGTCACTGAGGAAATACTACAACTTTGTGCTGTGGATCGCCGGATCGGCTTTCACCGTGGACGAAGCGGAGTCCAGCCCGGAGTCGTCACATGTCCTTCCAGACGCTCCTTCATCGAAATCACCGGCCGCGCCGTTCTCAAGCCCACCCGCCTCTGCTCACTCGAACCCTCCGGCCATTCCTCACGCTAGAAAATATAATCTCTTAAGTAATCTTAAATGGTCTTTTGGGTATATTATTACTTTATTTGCAAGTACAGTTTTTTATGTAACGTTACTTCAAAGGTTTGAATCTCACTACACGTGCACATTCAATACACTTACTGACAGAGAGCGTTGTAAACATGACTCACATGTAATCTGATGAAGTTCAGAAAATCCTGGACGCGCTCATGATGCACAGATTCCAGAAACTGCTTTCGTTTCGACATTTCGCTAACAGTCCTAACAGACAGAAGAGAAACAGAAACACAATTACTACCAGAGCCGTTGAGAGAGATGGCTCTGATTACTACGCACTTCGGCGAGTAACACTTATGTTTTATTTTATATTATTGTCCGTTCACAGCAGGGGCGTAACGTTAGCACCAACGGTGGGCCCCGGTCACACAACACCACATCACATCACATCACATCACATCACTCATATTAATAATAATAATCAGTATATCATTATGGGCCCCTGTTACTCAGTTTCACTACTACCCCCTGTCCGACGCCCCTGGTTCACAGGATGAGGTTATGTATGCAACAGCGCAAGTATTAATATAACATTAATTTCGACACGGAAGGCTTTTGTTTCGCATACGCAGAGCAAAGCATTATTTCCTAAACTATATCAGCTTATGTAACAGCACATTACAAATATATATATTTTCCATCAGAGCACACCTACCGGGTTGTTTACTCCGTCCGTTTCAATGTTTACCCGCTCAAAATTAAAGAAGCGTCATGACGTCCGGCGTAACGTTTGATCCTCGGCGTGCTGATGTGACAGCGCCACCTGCTGTAGGGGAGATGGACGGCGCTTGAGTTTAAATGCAATGGAGTTCATCGATATCTCTATTTAAAAAATATGTTCTAAATTCTGTATAACGCTATTTATATGATTCTTAACACGCATCAATTGCTGCCTACTCAGCTTGTTCATTTACTACTCCAAAATCTACAACTAACCGCTAATGTCCAGCAGATAGAGCCAAAAGCACGTTGTACGATCGATCAATCAAAAAAGTCCCTGAGATATTAATGACAGATGATACATTATATTGTAATTACATGCTTACTATTTTTCTGCTTTAGAAAAATATCAATTAAACAAAACAATTTTAATCTGTTCTTTCTATTTTTGGAATACCAAGCAAAGGAAACAATGGCTTTCACAGTTATTAGAAAATATTAGTCTTTATCAGTATCATGTTCAATAATTGAGTATTGCTGGACCTAAAAAAGGCCAACATTTTAAGCATTATATTTTACTAGGTCGCTTCAACTAGTGATGGGCGCGTTCGAAACACTGCTTCACGAAGCTTCGAAACATTTGCGAATCTCTTGTTTCGAATCAGTGTTTCAGAGCGCGTGGTCTCAGCAAACGAAGCTTCGTTACATCACACTGTTTCCGAAACGTTTCGAAACCCCGGTGGTTCAGCACTAGGGGGTGGTTCAGCACTAGGGGGTGTTGAACCCATGGAGCACTTCTGGTTGCCCAGTTAATCATGTGACATGAAATCCCACGAAATTTTTACTATAAAAAATAAAGAATTCAAGGCCAGATGTTGTGGGTTAAACAAAAGATAACTTCCCTTTAACACAGATGGCTATACAGTTTAAAAAATGTGTAAAAACACATTGTAGGTCGTCTTTCAACCTACAAATCACATCATACCTTAAAAATAACAAAATGAGCTTACGATAGAATTAAATCCACCTCCTTCTCCTGACTGATAACACTACTCTTGCCTGCTGGTTTTCATGGATAGCTCTAATGAAAACACTTAATTCATTAAATAATTCAATTAATTCATTAAATAATTAATTTAATTCATTGTGTGTTGAGTTTGATTATACTTAAAACACAACACAAGCACTAATATTTAATAGTATTTAAGTGTTTATTATTTATATATATATATATATATATATTTTTTTTTTTTAAAGGTGTTTCTAAAAAAACATTTCGAGTTGTTTTGTAAGTTTGGTCTGAGTTCTTTACAACGTTTTCACCAGCAGGTGTCACCAGCAATTGGTTCAATTGATTCTATGCTTCGAAAAGCTTCGTTTCTCCCATCACTAGCTTTAAACACCTTCCACACAACCTTATCCAAATATTCCTGGGGTTTGGTGACTTTTGTGTCCCCAGTAAAGATCATGGTATCATTGCCTTAAAAATTTCAACATCAATTTTGAAGTTGTCTTTGATACAAAACACCTTGTGAACTTTAAGCATATTTACGTTTTTATTTATAGCTATATAATTCTAAACATTTCACAGCATTTTAAACCACCATATCACAATTTTTACTATGTCCCCAGGCCCCCGTCTGCCATTTTGATGATGAATAACACATTTAGTGTACATAGTGATAGTGACCGCAATTGATGTTTAAGTTGAAGAAGTGGAGTATATAAACTTTTTTTTTACATTTTAAATGTAAAATTTTACATATACATAAATATTTAAAATTGTTGTTCATTTGTCCCTAACAGGGTGGACGATTTTGGACCACCTCATCATTTAATTTGGCTTATAATTGCTTGAATTTATACCATATATTTATATACCAAATTATTTTTCACTTTTTACAGCTCCCTATCATGATTGCACAAGAATTTATTAAAAACAATTTTTTTGAGTGTTATGATGTCAAAAAGGCACTGAATCCCAGGAATGACCCGACCTTAAAAACAAAGTACGAATAGACACAATTTAATTTGGCTTATAATTGCTTGAATTTATACCATATATTTATATACCAAATTATTTTTCACTTTTTACAGCTCCCTATCATGATTGCACAAGAATTTATTAAAAACAATTTTTTTTGAGTGTTATGATGTCAAAAAGGCACTGAATCCCAGGAATGACCCGACCTTAAAAACAAAGTACGAATAGACACTAAATTAAAATAACTGTTTAAACAATTAAGGTAATAAAATGCATTCAGGCCCTTTAACTCTAAAATGGGTTCAAGTTACAAGTTCATTGTGATTCATGTTGCATTTCATATTTTAATGATATCATGCATAATGCATAGAGAAGAATAAGGCTGGAAAACATATCAACAGCCATTTCACAGTCTTGAAACAATCCAAAACCCTTTGTAACCAAGCTATTATCATCTTACAAATGTTGCATACTAAAAACACATTTTGCTTTTCCTCATAAAACTCTTGCAGACAAAATGGGTATCAAACATTTCTTTACAGGCTGTTCATCTTGTGTTGTGCAACAGGATACAGTAAAATACTTTAAAAATAAATTATCAATGGATCATTTTTGAAAAGCTGAACATAGCTTGGATTTTCCGTAACTGTAAAAATCTAAAGAAAAAAAATCTAAAGAAAAGGAAATGTTCATACATACATATATACATCCATACGTATAGCCTTTCTTTTGCACTTGCAACCTTGCAACCATGTCTTTGGCCACGTGTTTTGTGTAATATACTGCCTCAAACAAACAACAATGCTACAATAACATGTCTGACTTACCAGCAACATTACATTTTTTTTCTGATTGACTGCTTACAAAACATAGTATTAAAAAGAAATCAAAAAGTTTAATATTATCAAAATAACTTGAATACAATAAATAAAGGCACATTTAATAATAAATCTAATGCTCTTTTTGTCTACTGTTGTTTCATAACTTCATGGGCAACCATTTTTATCTGATAAAAAGTGAAGTTATGCGACCAAACACCAATAAGATGAATAAAAGGATAAAACAAACAAGCAGACAAAATTAAAAAGACTATCAGATTGAATCCTTTGAGAAAGTGAAAGTAAGCGGGACAGATGCTTCAGGTGGCAATTTTGGCTTTTGGTGAGAATGAGAGAGACACTTTGTAGGCCAGTGTAAATCCCAGTAGAAGTAGCCTGGTTTAGTTAGAATCAGCACTGCTCTTCTGCTACTAAAGCCTCTACATTATCCTGTGCGTGCCGTGACATGTCCCAGTTATCTGCTGTTCCATTCATTTCTGCTTTCTAGCATGGACCACTACATCTGAATTATCTTCTTCGAGCCATCCTCCGTTAGATGATACCTGAGAGATAAAGGAAGCTTTTGTAATCAAGAAAAAGTACATTTACAAGAGTGACTGTATGAATAAATGAGAATCACACCATTGAGTCCATCCTTTTGAAATGTCTTCACTTGCCAAGTCCACAAGTGCCTATGACAAAGACAGCTGTAAGCCTCCATAAAAATCCAGTGATCAACTGAATGAGAAAAAGGACTGTGAATCAATCAATGTTTTTTTTTTTACCTTGCCTAGTAGTACTTTGTGTTTGGACAACAGTCCTCCTCCATTCTTGACAGCGACATCCAAAGTTCTCCTGTGCAGTTCCACTATAGACACACTGAACTCAAAGCTGACAAAAGCAACACAACAAGATAGTAACTGTTACTGCAGTTACTGGTTTACTATGCTACATGCATCTCTGCACTTGAATATGCAGGCAACTGGGATCATGAAACCTTCAGTAATGCAATTATACAAAAAGAACATTTCTCAGAAACATTGGCAATTGCATCATACAGTATATTATAAAGTCTTGGTTGACTTGGTTTGGAGGGTAAAACAGTTAGCTAGCTCTGTTCAGTAAGAAGCTCCGCTGTGGATTTAATATGAAGGGAATGTCATGCAAATGCATACAGCAAGATAAACAGCAGACACGAATTGGATCTGGTGGGTCCTCTTCTCATTTGAATGCAATTTAAATGAGTTAAAGACGTCACTATGTCTGTAACCACATTAGGTTTGACATGTGAATACTATCAGTAAAATGTGTATTAGTATGCTAAGACAATTAGCAAAAGTTCTAAAAAAACAAAAAAAAAAACACTAATATATTAAAGACTTTATATATCAGGATTTTTTCAATCCTTTTTCAGGATTGTGAAAAAGAAGTGTGCTTAATTGTACTAAATGTGCAGTGTACTTCAAAAATTTAAAGTCTAATTAAAAAAAAAACCTGTACTGTCAAGATTTTCTTTAATGAAATGTTTAATAATGTTTTAATAATCTATTGTTGCGTTTAAATAAATACGTTTCATTTATGTATTATGTTGACTACCATACTAAAGCACATGTAGAGTACTTGATTTTTTATTTTAACTGTAGTGTGTAATTTGATATTACGATATCAAGTAAATATAGTTTAAATTATAAATTATAAATATTCATTATTACAAATGTGTAATTGCAAATATATGTAAATACATTACATTTGTTTCATAAGTTTCAATAGAAATTGCATCAGTACTATAAATGCTTGTTAGTATTTCTCAAACATATCCCAAAGACAATAGAAGTCATTATAAATTTACATAAAGATTAGAGTACTTAAGTCTTATTAAAGTGGGTCAAAACATTCTAAAGTTCAGCTAAATGCATTTCATATGAATTTAAACTACAACACATTTTCATTTAATTGCAATTAAGTGTCAGAAAACATAATCCGTTTGCACTTGCATATATTCTTTCCTTAATAAGTAATCTTGTAAAAAAAGATGTACACTTTAGAAAACTTTTTCTTTTGTACCAATTATAAAAGGTCTTTTGAACCAATTATTATAAAGAACCTAATTTGAAATGGTCTGTGTGCTTCGTGTGTTTCTTACGACTGGTCGTAGATAGGATTGAGCGTCTTCTTGAGTGTGCTGGTTTTTCTGCGGCCACTCCGGCTCTTGTCTGGTAACAGGTAAAGACGGATGTATGGGTCTGAACCATCTTTAGTCAGTGCTATGAGGTTTCTGTGATCAAGACACAAGGAAACATATTCACACAAAAGCAAAAGTAGTATTTTCACAAGAACTTGTTGCATCACATTTATACAAATTCAAACATACAAATGCAAACACATGTCCCTCATTATTTGCACACACTGTTGTTGATGTTCAAGAGAGTTAAAAAACACTAATATACTGGATGTGTTCAATGTAAAAGTAAAAAATAGGTTAAAATTAGCAAACAAAATGATTGGAAATGGTACTATAAAACACAGAAAGATGAAGGTTAATGTGTATGTGGCAGTCTCACCTGCAGGCATGAACCACTACAATAAGTTTATTTCTTTGTGAGCTGTGTCGGATAGTGAGCTGGACTTCACCGAGTGGATACTGTCTCAGCCCAGAGCCGCTGTAACAGAAACAGCAAGTTTATCTGACAGTGTGTGAGAGCGAGTTAAGAAATAGTTTTTCTTCTGACAAGTCAACATGAATTAAAAATACAGTATATTTACAATATTGACTTTAAGGCTGCATTTATTTGCTAAAAAAGACAGTAAAAACAATATTGTTAAATATGATTACTATTTAAAAATAACTGTTTTCTATTTTAATATATTTTAAAATGCAATTTATTCCTGTGATGACAAAGCTGCATTTTCAGCAGCCATTTTTCCAGCCTTTGTTGTTACATGATCCTTCAGAAATCAGGATTATTTGATAAATAGAACATTTCAAGAACAGTACTTACTGTATTTGAAACAGAAATATTTTGTAACATTACAGATGTCTGTACTGTCATGTTTGATCAACGTAAGACATCCTTGCTGAACAAAATTATTAATTTCTTTAAAAAAATATCAAAAAATCACCGGCCCCAAACTTTTGAATGGTAGTCTGTAATATTTAGCATGAATATGCAATATTGCTGCCAAAATACTCCAGTTTGTGTAAACTCGTGGAAATTTTTGTTTGGATTGAAAATCCTCCTACTTGTTTTCTCGAGTTTTCCTCAGTGTGGTTTAGATTGTTGGGGCTGTTTAATACAGTTTCAACTATCTGAGCAACTTGGATGCAAATCTGAGCAACAAATACAAATGGATCATGTCACGCTTCCCACTGTTTCACTGCTCAAATTGGTCTGGGTGGCTCAGCAGAGACCAATCTGCTCAGCGCTATCCAGTCAGGCATGCCGTGTTGTTCATTGGGCAGCGCAGATAAATGGTTTACACTGCACTGGGTACTACTTGTGTCTCACTTTTGGCTGTATTTTGGCTTTTAGTGTTTCTCAAACACAGCCAAAAATAGTCACCAGTGTGGCTTCTAACAAAATTGTATTACACTGACAGGAAAAAAGCAAAACCCAAACGACTTCTGTATATTGGTATCAGCGTGTCACGGACACAGACTCACTTTTGTAGCTTCTGTAACCTCTGCTGCAGTTCCAGTGTGGCAGATGGCAGCGAAATGTCAGAGGCCAGACTAGGTGTAGAGTCTCTGTGAGACTGATGGTTGTGCGAGCTGCTTATCTCCAGACTGGAGACGCTGCGGCCTGCCTCTGCTAACCGCACCGGGGAGCCATCAGATCCTCTTTTCCCTTGAGGAGTGTCCGGTGCGAGGGTACAAGATGGGTTTTGTGATGGCTGGATGACTGTGGAGTTGCTGGTGCTAGTGACTGTTTGAGGTTGAGGGGTCACGCAAAAGTCATTCTGACTACTGTGTCTGACCCGGACAGAAGACGGCTGGCTGGATGTGACCTCCTTCTCTAAACAGAGGACCTGTTTACACAAGAACATATTTATATGGATAAAGCATACTGACACAAGTGCTGAAATGAGACAATGACACAAAAATGAGACAATATCTTTTGATAGCATACAGACACACCAACCCTGAGAGCCATTTTGAGTTTGAGGGTGCTGCTGGGGCCAGAGTTATGCAGGGGGAACTGCTGATTCAGTGTCATGTCTGCCTCCTTCAGGAGAGAAGCAACTGCCACCCGCACACTACCCAGAGAGCACTTGTGCTTACTATCCCTCACCTGAGACACATAAACAACATCTATGCATGACAGTTGACTTTTTACAAATACAAAACCCAACAGGAACACGCTGTCTACAATCTTTTGAGGAGTTCTCAAAATGAACAGTAAATCATTCTAACCAACTCTACATTATGGCATTATAGCAATATATTTGACACTGATGATATACACTATCGTTCAAAAGTTCGGGTCTGAAGGATTTTTTCAGGTTTTTGAAAGGAGTAATAATCATCTTTACTGTAACCTTTTATCAATTAAATGTGTCCATGTAGAATCAAAGTATTAATTTCTTTAAAAAAAATCTTAAACTTTTGAAGCCCTAGTGTAAACTACAGTAGACTTACATAATTAACATTATCTTAGTAATTTTAATATTCATGCTTTTGGGGTGTTCCCTTCTAGAATACCTCAATTTCCAGTTCCTGAGTGCGGGGGTTGTTGATAAGGAAGTGAAAAGCCTCCTCCCACAGTGGCTCACTAGTTTTAAACCTCACCTGAAAATCAGGAGCAAAACAGGACTGCATATATGTGTATTTCTAGTCTTGAACATGTTAAAGCCGATTAATGAATGTTACCTTGCTTGTGTACATCTTTTGTCCTACAGTCAGTTTGACAAAAGGATTTGGATCTATGCTCACTTTTTTCCCAGACTGTTGAACAAAAATAGAAAGAAAACATTCAATTGTACAGTATGATATGACATACCAAATATGACAGTCAACAAATTCTACTTCAGCTCTTTGGTAACATGAGCTGATTATACTAGCCTGGTTAATTATAATTACATTATAGCTCATTTAGCCTTTTAAAAGTCATGTTCTTACTACTAGTGCTTCGTTGTAATAAGGTTATTTTAAACTCATCTATAAAAATGTAAATACCAGCAATCTAAACACAAAAAGCCTCTTGTTTAATTTTCTCAATTCAATAAAGACATGAATAAATTAAGTAAAACAACTTGTACAGTAGTATTCTGTGTTTTTCTGTCAATATGGGGTGCTGTGTGTACATTAATGAGGAAAAAAAATTAACTTAAATGATTTTAGCAAATGGCTGCAATATAACAAAGAGTGAAAAATGTAAGGGGGTCTGAATACTTTCCGTACCCACTGTATATAAAGTATATTTGTACTTCTATAACATCTGCTAAATCTTTAAACACATGCAGTGGGGCATGAAGGAAGAATACATAGGAGAAGCAATTAAAAAAATAATCCGAAATCAAAGAATGAAACAAATAATAAAAGACGTGAAATCATGCTTGGGGTCCAGATGCAATGCAATGCTTGTTATGCATGTCACTGTATAAACGGCACGCAGTCTCAATGTACCTTCAGGCCTTTATAAGGGGGTTTGCGGCCATCAGGGTTAAAGTCAAGAGGATTGGTCTTTCCACAGGAAGTATTGAGAGAAATTGAGAATAGGACGGTTAACATACAGCAAGAGGACAAGCAAGAATGATAGTTCGATTGGTTCAGCCTTACAGATTTCTAATAAAAATTACAAATACATATGCATATCGAATCAGTGTAACAATATTGGCAGGGACAAAAAGAGGAGAGAAAAAAAAGTTTTGTCCTTTCTCTTTAGACTGCTTACTAAGTCTAGATGAGGATACATCAATCATATGTCTAAGAATGACCAAGCTGAATTTAGATCAATCATGTGACTTAATGTGACAGTAAAAATGAATGGGTGAATGAAAGCTATATATTTAAACCTTGGCTTCTGACAGTCTGATTAAACACAAAATACATGTAATAAAAATATACATACATACTCAGTTACTGAGCAATTAGAATGGGACAAAGAAATGTGATGCTCATAGTTTATTGGATGACAATTACAAGCTACACATGCCCAACAGGCAAAAGTGGAAGTTTGCATGCATCAGATCAACGTACTCTGTGTTGTTTGTTTGTTACTAAAGAACAGCTTGAATGGAAGCAATGTCTACACACAAGGTTAGATAAACAGCTACAGCTAGATCAGGAGAACCAGGATGCAGATTACTGGCAAACTCACAAATAACGTTCTATAGAGAGAGTCGGGGTTCTCACAAAAGACTAGACCAGAGGCCCTCCTCTCCTTTAGGTTTCCACAGCCAAAGCTGCCCTCAAAGACACTCTTACAGTAGAGGAGGGAGGCACAATGTAAAGCATTAATAAAGTCGGCACTGTACATCAGTCGTCGCAAACTAATAATACATCATTCTATGGCCGCATAATCAAAAGGTGTCAGTTAAATAACAAACATTCCTTAAAATGATGTTTAGCCCACAAATTCCAATATTATTTTGGACTCCATTGATTTTCATTGTATGCACAAAAATAGTTGGACTACAAGATATCTTATTTTGTGTTCTGCAGAAGAAAGCAAGTTTTGGAATGACATGAGGGTGAATAAATGATGACAGATTTTTCATATTTGGGTGAATAATATCTTCAGGGGGAAGCAAGACGATAATTGCACCTTGCAAGATACAGCCTGGGGAACAACATCAGCGCATGTAAATCATTAGGGTGTGTAAATCTGCAGCTTGTTCACATTTGTATTCATATCAAAGTAGACTATTATAGAACATAAATAACACTTTCAAGCATTTCATAAAAGTAGAACATAAAAATAATGAAACTGAAAGTAAACAAAAATGTAAAACATGTATCTGCTGCAGGACATCAGAAAATATTGTCCTATGACAGATCCTCAGACAGAATCTATGTACACTCATCACTCTTGTTCTTACCGGCAAATTACTGGCAGAGTCCAGGTAAACAACTAGCAGAGCGGAGGAAAGATTTTCATTAGCCCTTATGCTCCTTAATACCTAATAAGATAGAAAAGAGCAAATGATGATGACAAAAATGAAATATGATGTTTAGCTAGTGTATGTTTAATCATGTCGGTGTCATTCACTGATTGTGTATGTGTATACCTGGTATTCCCTACATTATGGGGACCAAATGTCCCCACAAGGATAATAATACCAGTTAATTTTGACATTTGTTTGGTCCCCATGAATAAACAAGCTTATAAATCATACAGAATTAAGTTTTTTGAAAATCTGAAAATGCAGAAAGTTTTGAGGTAGGTTTGGGTTAAGCGGATAGAAAATATAGTTTGTACAGTATAAAAGCCATTAAAACTATAAAAACCATGGAATGTCCCATTAATGATAGGAATGCCAGTGTGTGTGTGTGTGTGTGTGTGTGTGTGTGTGTGTGTGTGTGTGCGCGCACATACTTGATCTAGTTTCTCAGCACTCGGGTACAATGACAGCCACTCTAATCTCAGATGAAGTTTGCCTGTAGTAACTTCTTCCAAGTCAAACCACTGCAGAAAAAAAAATGTGATTAGTGCACTGGAATGCCAGATATGGGCTTAAATGACATTTAATTCATTCCAAACCAGTGATGAAAAACTACAAGTTCAAAAGAAATGACACAACTGGTCTTTCTTTGGGAAAAAAATTTAATTATCAATACAGGAAAATGTCTACATCTAAGGAAGCACAAAGTCAGTACATTAATAAGATAAAATTATGTTTGAATGTACTTTTACATATTGTGGAAAAAAAGATGATCATATTCCTGTTTTTTTTTTCTGTGGCTTAATAATTCATGAATCAGAGAGTTAAAAGCGGAGGCAGTGTTGTGAATGATTGGAATGAAAACAAAATACAAAAACAAAAACTTAAAATCTACTTACAATACAGCCAACAAATTTGGAAATTCAAAGTCAGTTCATTAATGAGAGGGTGCTGAAAGAGAACTGGTGGTGACGTTTGTTGTGAGCTGTAAATTAAATTAATCTAAACAAGAGTGTGACTGCATTACCTCATCAACCTTCTGTTCTTTATGAAGCTCACTCAAGTCAATCATTAGACTGGAATAAAAATAAAAGAAACATTATACATCTTTATAAAGTTCTATAACAGATATCATTGTAAGTTTCAGCTCTATAAATGAATGTGGCACCTGCCCAAGAAGTCATCTTTATCTGGGTCTTCATCGAAGAGCTCAATTTCCAGATGTTGTCCTGAATGTTCATATACTAGTGCCTAATGATGAAATGCATTTCAGTCTTACGAGCACAGTAAATGTGCATGTGTGTGTATATATATATACATAATAAATATACACAGTACACACACACATATATTATATAAACAAAAACAATTAATCGCGATTAATCGCTTGACAGCACTAATTTTGACAAGATTTAAAGGAAAATGTGTAGGTAATATAGATGCACAGAAAATATAAAAAAAAATATGTAAGCATGCCAGTGTGTGTGTGTGTGTGTGTGTGTGTGTGTGTGTGTGTGTGCGCGCACATACTTGATCTAGTTTCTCAGCACTCGGGTACAATGACAGCCACTCTAATCTCAGATGAAGTTTGCCTGTAGTAACTTCTTCCAAGTCAAACCACTGCAGAAAAAAAAATGTGATTAGTGCACTGGAATGCCAGATATGGGCTTAAATGACATTTAATTCATTCCAAACCAGTGATGAAAAACTACAAGTTCAAAAGAAATGACACAACTGGTCTTTCTTTGGGAAAAAAATTTAATTATCAATACAGGAAAATGTCTACATCTAAGGAAGCACAAAGTCAGTACATTAATAAGATAAAATTATGTTTGAATGTACTTTTACATATTGTGGAAAAAAAGATGATCATATTCCTGTTTTTTTTTTCTGTGGCTTAATAATTCATGAATCAGAGAGTTAAAAGCGGAGGCAGTGTTGTGAATGATTGGAATGAAAACAAAATACAAAAACAAAAACTTAAAATCTACTTACAATACAGCCAACAAATTTGGAAATTCAAAGTCAGTTCATTAATGAGAGGGTGCTGAAAGAGAACTGGTGGTGACGTTTGTTGTGAGCTGTAAATTAAATTAATCTAAACAAGAGTGTGACTGCATTACCTCATCAACCTTCTGTTCTTTATGAAGCTCACTCAAGTCAATCATTAGACTGGAATAAAAATAAAAGAAACATTATACATCTTTATAAAGTTCTATAACAGATATCATTGTAAGTTTCAGCTCTATAAATGAATGTGGCACCTGCCCAAGAAGTCATCTTTATCTGGGTCTTCATCGAAGAGCTCAATTTCCAGATGTTGTCCTGAATGTTCATATACTAGTGCCTAATGATGAAATGCATTTCAGTCTTACGAGCACAGTAAATGTGCATGTGTGTGTATATATATATACATACTGTATATACTATATATATATATATATATATATATATATATATATGTGTGTGTATTCACCTCATACACCTCATTCCATTTGGGGTGCAGACATTCTTTGATGGTCTTGCTTCTAAAGAGCTGATTGCTAACCAGCAGCATGCCATAGGGGTCAGACTTCCCTTTGATCAGCCCGCCCAGATATGTATCCTTAACTTCCAGATTCTGAGCTTCAAGAAAATGAATCCTTAGAACTCCCTAATGAGTGTTAGAAAGAATACAGCAAAGACAATGAGAGGTTAATGAATATTAATATGAATAAACTTCTGTTGGGTTTGATGAGATGCGTGAGTGTATTCACCTTTGGCATAGGGAAACGAAGCTTGGCCAGTTCAACCTCACCTATCAGTGGTACAGTGATCCTGTTAGGCAACACCATGTAAGTGCTGATAATATCCTGGATCATGTGGTCTGAAAAGCCACTGCCAAGGAAAAATAAATAGAGTTACATGAAATTTTGTACTTCTAGATATTAATCAATCTTCAATGCAATGGACAGAAGTGTAACTCTCTCAGAATACATAATTTTGTGGGAAAAAGAAGATCAAAATTGTGGTTTAATAATTCATACATCAGAGAGATGAAAGCAGAGGCAGCATTATGATTGACTGGAATGAAAACAAAAGACTCAAATAGTTTGGAAAAACTTCAAACTTACTCAAAATGTTCCACAGAGAACGTTTCAGTGGCAAGCAACCAAAGCTGTTTAATGGTGTCTAAATGAGTTTGTGTTACTACTACTAGCTGGTGTTGTCTTAGAAGTTGCCTTAAAACAAAGTCTAACTGAACTCCATAGATGATTTTATAAAAAAAAGAAGAAAAAACAATCCTGTACCTCCCGGATGTATTGCTAACCACAACAACCACATTCAAACGCCACCTTGCTGACTAAACCAACAATGTGACAAAAGACAAAGATCATCTGACACTGTTTATTTAAGTATGTTTTTGTAACATTAGCATGAATACATTTTCTACATTTCAGCAGACTCCTACAGCAGCATGTGGTGTGACAATATATGCATCTGTCTGTCCCAGCACAAATGCACCCCGACCTTGTTCAAATACAAGCACAAGCAGGGGGAGAGGCAATGGAGAGGAAACACACAGAAGCCATAGTGCCATTTAGAGGTTTGTGCTGACATTCCTCAGCTCCCCCCTCTCTCATTTGAACCAATACTCCTGTCTCTGGGCAGCTGACTGTCTTTGTTGAAAAGCCTGTAGTTTTGTCAGTGCCACCTGGGTTTCCTCAAGTCATCTTAACACACAAACACAGGCAAGAAGGCAACATACTGTACAGAGAGTTAAATTATGTTAGCCATAATAATATACAAATGCATGTTTGTAGATGAGAGAACTTTACTGCCATATATATTCGTAAGATTTAAGTCTTATGCATGCTGATCTCTCACTGCATACAAACAGCACACACCACATTAATTTGCATTTATTTATAAGTAAATACACAGACGAATAACTATGAACAAGTGAATAAATACGTTTACAGTCCAAGCCAAATTTAGACAATAAATAACTATTTTGTACTGTATAAATGTTCTGTATTATATTACTATAGATTTCAGCACATTGTATAGTATTGTGCTTTGCTCTTTTAAAATTCAAGTTAATCACAACTATTACTCATTTTGAGCATGGCTGTTGTCAACGCCAACTAGCTTTCATTTTCATTCAACAAAAACACAAAGAAATCGGGAAACAACTGAACAAAGACATGTATAACAACAACACCACTATTAAGCAAGTGCCAAGTGTTTTTTTGTTTATTATTCAAGATGAATAAATTCATCATGGGTGCCAAAATGGCAATACACTTAATCATTATCTTTTATGCAATGACAAAAAACAAAAACAAAACAAAACACAATCGTTCTAGTATTATGTCTAATTTAGTTGCATTTTACTGTACTTTCCTTTCCAAAACATGTTTTCTTTGCATTTCAAATGATTTTACACTGCAGCAGGCAAGTTTAAATAGATGGACATTTAAACTCATAAACAACCAAGGACACTTCTACAAGGTAAAAGAAGCATTAACCATCTTGTGCAATGTTGGCATACTTATAATACAACACACAAAAATAAGCTTCGAGGTAAATCCAATTGATCGCTTCCCTGGAACCCAGCTCATCTACACGATAATAAAACATGACACTCAACCGGACTGATGCAGATATGAGTTGCAAACTATGAATCCATGACAGAAAGCTCAATGCTTGTTCAACACGTAATATTATATCAACATCCGACATACAGTTAAGCTTGAGTAACTACTGTAGTACATAAAATAATTTCTAAAGGTGTTCTTAAACCCCTATGGCCATTAGATAATCTTAACAAACTTTAAGAGCTTTAGATGGGGGATGCACAAGGCAAATGTATTGATTTCATGAAGATAAAAGACTTAATCTTCACCAACCTCCCAATGGAAATTTTATTAAATAAATTCAAACTCTTTAGCCTGATTTATTTATTTTTATAACCTCCACTTGCTTATCACATTCTGTCGCTAAATTCTGTTTCCATTCATGCTTTCAATTACACCCATTCTTTGTTTTACATTTGCCTCCAATATGTTTCTTCCAAAATGCTTTCTCATCTCTCTTGTCAGCAACACTTGACATTCAATCTCCCAAATTCTGTGATGAAAGTCAATTTGATTGTGAATTACTTTCTCTGTAATAAAAGAGTACCAACATTCAGTGGGTAACAATATGCCAAACAGAAATCATAAACAACACCATAAAAAATGAAAGCAAGAATGACCGTGATGATCATAACTCTCTTATTGATTTGCTTGCTGAGCAGACGCAGTTGCCCAAACATCTTCATAATGCAAGCATAGCGTTCTCTGAGGTTACAATAATCACTCACCGGTCCAGCAGTGGGACACCACAGATACACTGCATTGGGGTATTATGGTTGCCTGGAGTGACAGATCTAAGATCAGAGTACTATTCTTCAGTCTTACATTGGCTGTATGATGCAAGGAGCATGGCTGACATGTGAGCAGCTCTTGTGCAGTGAAGATCCAAAGCAGCACCAATAAACTTTAATAGTCTAAGACAAGCACTCTCAATGCTGCAGTGCTAATGACCATAGCCTAATGGTACTTTTGTTTGTTTGCAATTAGGATTATCCAGACATCAAGCTCCCAAACAGCATCAACTAGTGTAATTATTCGGTTTTTCAGAAACAGGATACACAAAACATAATGCAAACAAAATATACACAAAATTGTAAATAGGCCTACATACATATTTAAACTCTCTTAGTGAAGGAGCTCTTCACTATACTAACTTATAAATTCCTATGGACCACCCCTGTCCACAGTAGCCTGTGTTAAGAAACAGCTAGAGGGGTGTAATCACTCATCCGCCTGTGTGTGTGTCTGTGTGCATGATCAGCACAACCAGAAGTGCAACACTCATGAATCTGCTCCAACTTTTACTGCAGACAGTATGTTATATCAACACATATAAGATATTTCTAATCTGCCATTACAGAGGGCACTGAGTGGCTATTGAGACTATTTGAAAACATTGTTTTAGTTAATAATTCCTAGGGAACACACTGAAAAAATGTGTTCCTTGAATCTACATGCATTATGCATAAATGTAATTATTCTAATTTAATTGCGAATGTAATGCAGGGTGATACATATACATATACATATACATTTTAGTGAACACTCTCTCATAACCACTAGCAAGTTTGATACTGGATGTCACTTTTATTATTATAAAAAAAAAATCCCCAGTTATATTACTACTAAGTTTCATCACATAGCCAAGGGAAGAAACAGTGCTCAATATTGGTTTATTTTATTTATTTTTTTAGTAAAATGCCAAGGGTAGTTGTTCTCTTTACGAAAACAAGTAGCATTAACCTGATTATAAAGGTAAGGTTTTAAACTAATCAACCAGCTATCTTTTATCAAGTGCACCAGACCACTGAAAAATTTGGATATGTATAAAATATAAAGTTATATAAATATCTATTACATAGCCACTTGCGCGTTATTAAGGTTTGTAAAGACATTCATATAAAGCCACAATTTAAATGTCAACAAAACTAATTTCAAGCATTTAAGCATAAACTTTTATGTGTGAAACATAAATTTAGTCAAGTGTGTTAGACTGATAATATAAACTGTTTAGGTAAAGTGGCCAAAAAGGTAAATTCATCACTACTCAGTAGTGAGACAGTTCAATTATAATATGTGTAAAAGCTTTAGTTAATTAAATTCAACATACGTTAGAGAGAAAGAAGAATGTCTTACATTGATTATGCACTAAGACTGCTGAACAAAGGCTCTTTCAATTATCTCCAATAAACAGGCCTACATCCAAGTACAACTAAATGAAGACAAAGCAAAAGAAGAGGTCTAGACTCCATGTTTTATAAATCTATGGATGAAAACCAAGAGGCCCTTAAATCAAATCTGAACCAGAAGCCTAACCAACATGAAAATAATACAAATAAATCACAGTTTATATAAAATGCCTTGCAGGACTAAAATAAACTTACAAATGTATTCCAAGAAACAAAGACTGTTTTTAAATACTAAGTAAAAATGTAATCTATTGTAGGAAGAAAAAGTTCACTTACTTAAGCCCTGGAATGTCCAATATATTTGTGAGGCCTGTCCAGTTTATGTCCAATAGCTGAATGAAAAAGAGAGAATCAAGCATATAGATAACTTAAACACACTGCTAACACAGAGAGAATACAGGTATATCTGTTCAGAGGAGAGAAACAAGCACAAACCAGACAACACAAAAAGACAAACAACAATAAAATATATCTAGACATGCCTGAGGCTGTAATTTAATATCAACTTGGATGTTAAGTCTCACTCTAAAACCAGCACATAAATAACAATACTATGTACTGTTTGTTACTGCAATGAGAACAATCAGTGTCCCAGTGCACCAGAACATAAACAAGAAAGAGGGAAGGATGGAAAGAAAAAAGTACAGAAATACAAACCATCCATTATAATGGGGATAGATGTAATATAAAAATGTTCTCTTAGCCTCTTTTCCTCTGTGAATTTCAGTGTCGCCCACACTGCAGAAGGAATATATGAAGAGAAGCCACCTCTGCAGTGCATCACAAACTACAGTCAGACCGCAGGACACTGGACACCTCACAAAGGACTCAAACTCAATGAGGCAGGTGTAGGAAAACTCAATAAAGCCTTCATTCAGAAACAGCAGCAGAATGTGAGCTAGAATCAGGCTGAGCTGTGATAACCTGCTGTGAAATTATCCCTGCTACTAAACTGGTACTGACAGACTGTAGAATCTGGGTCACTGACGCTGACTGTCTGCCACTGCTATACACACGTGGTAGAACTGTTAAGATCATTTTATGCTGTTTAGCAAACCTTTAAATAGAATCTCAATCCTGCAGCTCTGCAAAAGACAAATGTCTTTAATAACTTTCTCTTCCTTTATAACTTTTTTAAAAATGTTTTCATCTAAACCAACAACATGTATGTTAGACCCTATTCCATCTAAGCTCCTAAAAGAGGTGATCCTCTTCTGACTATTATTAATACGTCATTGTCATTATGATATGTCCCCAAAACCTTCAAACTGGCTGTTATTAAGCCTTTCATTAAAAAACCACAACTTGACCCCAAAGATCTAGTTAATTACAGACCGATCTCGAATCTCCCTTTTTCTGTCAAAGATACTAGAAAAGGTAGTATCCTCACAATTATATTCCTTCGTAGAGAAAAATGGTATCTGTGAGCATTTACAGTCAGGATTTAAACCGTATCATAGTGCTGAGGCTGCTCTCATTAGTTACAAATTACCTGCTCTTATCATCTGATCATGGTTGTTTCTCTCTATTAGTGCTACTGGATCTTAGCGCTGCATTCAACACTATCGACCACAACATTCTTTTGAATAGACTAGAAAACTTTGTTGGCATTAGTGGAAGTGCATTAGCATGGTTCAAATCGTACTTATCTGACCGCCATCAATTCGTAGCAGTAAATGAAGAGGTATCATATCGATCACAAGTGCAGTACGGAGTACCTCAAGGCTCAGTACTAGGGCCGTTACGTTTCACGCTTTACATGTTACCCTTGGGAGATATCATCAGGAAACATGGTGTTAACTTTCACTGTTATGCTGATGACTCTCAGCTCTATATTTCTTCACGGCCCGGCGAAACATACCAATTTGAAAAACGAACAGAACGTCGATATAAAAAACTGGATGACGAGTAATTTCTTACTGCTAAATTCTGAAAAAACAGAGGTGTTAATTATCGGACCTAAAACTTCTGCATGTAATAACCTAGAACACTGTCTAACACTAGATGACTACTCTGTCAATTCTTCATCATCAGTTAGGAACCTAGGTGTGCTTTTTGATTGCAATCTTTCCTTCGAAAGCCACGTTTCTAGCACTTGTAAAACTGCATTTTTCCATCTCAAAAATATATCTAAATTGTGACCTATGCTCTCAATGTCTAATGCAGAAACGTTAATTCATGCGTTCATAACCTCAAGGTTAGATTATTGTAATGCTTTATTGGGTTGTTGTTCTGCATGCTTAATGAACAAACACCAGCTGGGCCAAAATGCAGCAACTATAGTTCTTACTAGAGCCAGGAATTATGACCATATTAGTCCGGTTCTGTCAACACTGCACTGGTTCCCTATTAAACATTGTATAGATTTTAAAATATTGCTAATTACTTATAAAGCCCTGAATGGTTTAGCACCTCAGTACTTGAGCGAGCTCTTATCGTATTATAGTCCTCCATGTCCGCTGCGCTCTCAAAACTCTGGCTATTTGATAATACCTAGAATATCAAAATCGACTGCGGGCAGCAGATCCTTTTCCTATTTAGCGCCCAAACTCTGGAATAATCTACCTAACACTGTTCGGGAGGCAAACACACTCTGTCAGTTTAAATCTAGATTAAAGACCCATCTCTTTAACCTGGCTTATACATAACACTATTACTCAAATCTGTTAAAGGATTGTTAGGCTGCATTAATTAGGTCAACCGGAACCGGGAACACTTCCAATAACACACAATTTACTTGTTACATCGTAAGAAGAATGGCATCAACGCTAATATTAGTCCGTTTCTTTCTAATTCCGAGGTCACTGTAGCCACCAGATCCAGTCCGTATCCAGCCCAGATGGTGGATCAGCACCTAGAGACGACCTCTACAGCCCTGAATTTCAGCGGAGACCAGGACAACCATGAGCCCCAGAGACGGATCCCTAGTGAAGACCTCGTCTCCTAGACGGCCATCGGGACAAGACCACAGCAACCAGATGAGTCCTCTGCACAATCTAACTTTGCTAAAGCATGGATCAACCTGGTGGTTTCGTCTGGCCAGAGGAAACTGGCCCCCCGACTGAGCCTGGTTTCTCCCAAGGTTTTTTCTCCATTCTGTCACCGATGGAGTTTTGGGTCCTTGCCGCTGTCGCCTCTGGCTTGCTTAGTTGGGGACACTTAATTTCCAGGGATATTGTCGACTTGATTGCAAATGATTGCAAAGATACTATTTAAACTGAACTGAGCTGGATGATGACATCACTGAATTCAATGATGAACTGCCTTTAACTGAAAAAGAGTGTCCTTTTGCATTGACACACTATTTTCCTATTTGATACTGTAAAGCTGCTTTGACACAGTTTTCCAACTCCCCAAAGTTCTTATATGTGTCATTGCCGTTGGATCTGCTGCAGTGATTGAGGATACCCTTCCTCGATTAACTGACCTCATGTCAAATGCATCTTGAAAATGATCAAATATCCTTCATAGGCCATTAAAGTTGACTTCATGGAGTGCATGGAAAAAAATATGGTTGGTCGAGGTCAAGGACGATCTTTGTGGTTTTATGAGCACATTAAAGGGATAGTTCAATAACAATTCTGTCATCACCTTCTTATAACATTGTATAACATTCTTTCGTGGAACATAAAAAAAGATATTCTGAGAAATGTCTCCGAATATGTCCATACAATGGAAGTCATTGGGATCCAATGCTGTTTGGTTCTCAACATTCTTCAATATATCTTCAATCATGTACCACAGAAAAAACAACAACAACAACAACAACAACATGAAAGTGAGTAGTTTGGGTGGATTATACACTTTAATATTAAACAATGCCCAGAAACATAATTACTTGTATTGTGTATATGTACTTCCATACTAATTCCCACACAATTCTAATACAGTAACAACACATAGGCCTACAATATTTAGAAATAAAAAACATCTCTCCATTTCTACAACATCTGTAGATATATCTCAAAGTCATTCAGCTGCCCTTGGACTGACCGCAACATGTAGCTGATGGAAGTAAAACTAATTCTTTCTAGATGTCTTCTGCATGCACTCATTACTAGGACTCTATGATGTACTTTGAAAAGTTCAAATATTTCCTGCTGTTTAACAAGAACCAAGTCACTGCCCACTCAAATTCCACACTGACTTCTGATCTTATGCCTTATCTTCTTTCAGCATTCACAATCTTATCTGATAGCTGTCTCATCAGATATCCTTAAGACACTCTTTCCTTAAAATCCTTTCTCCCTAACACTCACCCATGACTTTGTATGTACAATATAAACATATTTATTCACATTTAAGTTTGTACAAAAAGCATCTCCTAAAGATATATATATATATATATATATATATACAAACAATTTCAAGAGCTGTATCTCATTATGCTGTATAACATATAATTTGCAATAACTGCAAATAACAGCATTTCAGAGACAATGCTCCTTTGTATGCTGTGGCAAAATATATATTTTTGGGGAAAATGCTCACATTCAAATCCAAGTTAAACATAGGTGCAGGACAAGAGGCAGCAAAAGTGAAAAAGGGAATACATGTCCACACACTTATATTACAGTTCCAGACTTCATCAGAAACAAAGCAACTTCAGTCTTCATCAGGCAAAAATACAGACAATATTATCAAGGTAGAAATAAATTGCTCGTAAACTCACTGGCTTCTTGAGGAAGAAGAGGGAAAGAGCACCAACCAGCGGCATATTCCCCAAAAGTGGCTCAAGAATCACCCGCAGAACTCCATGTAGCTATTCATACATGCGGCCAAGCACATACACAGAGAAATTGACAGACACATCACATTACATTTTGAAACACTGGTAAGTATTCTCACAAGAGGTTCGGTGTGTACCTTACTCCAATTAAGGCAATATGAAATATTCTCAATTAAAAAAGCTAACAAATAAAATAAAATTGGCATTCACCAGATTATATTAATGAAAGCATTGCTGCCTTAATTAGGAACAACCCACTTCATCAGCCTTGGAGACCTCAAATAGAATGACAGAACTGTGTTTTCTTAATATCTGTCTTATTTTCCTTCTAAGGATGGATATTCTTTTCTGGAAAATGAGAAAAAGATTTTTGGCGTGAGAGAGCAGCGCTGTCAATCTAACCACTGTGTGCCCTAGGCTGATGATGAGTGTTTCAGGATCCTGACACTGATGCATTTATTATTTTGCTTCTGACAGCATTCTTACATGCTCTGTAATAGACATTTCACCTTCACAACAGAATTATGAGTTTCTGTTTTGAACAATCATCCATTACCAAAGAGCTGCTAATGAGAACAAATAACTCAAGGGAATGCCCTGTCTCAAGTAGTCCTTAATCATAATATGTGGAAGAGGTTATACAAGGTCAGTCAGTGTATATATGAACTGCTTTTTCTGATGATTTTTCTTACTTGTTTTCTTACTCTATTTTTATTTCTTTCTTATTTGTAAGTAAAGCACTTTGAATTGCAATTTGTGTGTGAAAGGTGTTATATAAATAAACTTGCCCCACCTTACTCACTAATTTGAATTTCGTGACATGTAAAACACAAAGTTTCATTAAAATGTTTATTATATTATTGAAGATCTTTTGCCAGTGGCTAATTATATAATAAGGGCTCTTAAAGCCATGAAATGTGCAATTTTTTTCTGGAACCAAGTTTCCATAAAGCAAGCAGCCTCAGACTGCCCTGTGTAACTATCGTAGAGATGAATGGGAATGCTAACAGCTCTCTTCAGGTATTATAGACCTCCTTGACATATAGTAAAAAATACATCATACATAAACACAGCATGCTGTCACACAGGGAGTTTAATCTGCTATGCATTTAATGCGACAGAATGAAATAAGTCCATAAATCATGTACAAAACGGTCATTGTGTGAGCATGTGTGTATATATCTGATCATGCACTACAAACAGTAAAAGGGCATTTTAGTATTTGGTTACACGCCTCCCTATAAATACACACACACCCTTTCTGTAAAAAATAAAAATAGGCTCCGTTCTACAGTCGAATGGATTCCTTCCATGAAACACGTGGTTGCTTCACAATATAGGAAAGAGCTTCCCTGTATCCAACAAATTAACTCTCTGGCCTTGGCTAACATAATCCATTGGCTCATGGAGACAAACTCAATGGAAGATGCCATACATAACAGAGCTGCTGTGTATCTGTTGTGAACAAATAACAGTGCAATCCTACTGCTGTATGCGGCACAAGAGCAGAGAATATCACACTATCAATGTTTTATGAGAATATATAACAATATACCTGTATACTTTTGATCCCTGCTCTACAGTAGTACCTTTTGACATCCACATCGATTTCAGTATTTCCAACATAGCTATAAAAGGAAAGAGAAATATTAAAACCAGAAAAGTTAAATAAAAGATCAAAAGATGTCAGCATAGCATATATTATGTGATGTCACCTGATCTGAAGGTCCATGATGATCTGCCGTTTGTCCACGTTCTCAGAGTAAACTTTGATCCCATTGATTCTGAGAGGCTGTGACAAAGATGAGCACAGATGCCCCGTCAGGGGGTTGACATTTCTTTAACCAGCATGCATTCCTCCACAGAGCCCTGACAACATAAACTATTTCCATCTGACAGCTGGTCAGCTTTTCCAAAAGGTTTAAATTTCTTATGTCAACCTTCCTACTCCTGATGCAATATATAGCTTTTTAGTGCAATGTTGTTTTAGTGTTAAGTAGTTAAGCAATGTCTTATATTCAATAAAATGATGGTCTTACACTGCAAATTACGTACGCAGTCTTTGAATGAAACATAGTTTTACAGACTAACTAGATCAATTTATTGATATATTTATAGTGTAAGAAATTATAGTGTATTGACCTTCAATCTTCTTATTTATACATTTTCTCTGGGAAAAAATGATGTAAACTGTTTATTTGTTTAGAAATTTTACTTGCTGTATAAAAGAAAACACAATGCATGGATGTTTCATGCCCTAGCAGGGTATAATTGTTACGAATCCGGTCCATGAACTTCCATCCACTTGCCACCAGAGGTCGCCCTCCCATGATATTGACTCTCACACCACACAGACTGTTACACATCACCCTGGACTACATTTCCCATACCCCATTGCACTAATCACAAGCTCACCTGAAACCAATCACACACAGCTGCTACCAATAAAACACACTATGTAAATCAGTCTCACACCACCATGCAACGCTGAGTATTGTTTGCGTTTATCGCTCTCCTAGTGGTAGCACATTACGGAGTCAGTTTCCTGCCCTAGTTTCTAGCCCTTAGTGCCTAGTCTTGTCTTGCCTGCTTTCCTGTGTTACCTGATTTTTGCCTGTTTATCTTGGATTAACCCTTTGCCTGCTGTTTCGGACTGTGTTTGCACCTCGCCTGGACTACTGCTAGTGTTATTGGATTTCCCTTCTTGTCAAGCCCTCTGGATAATGTTCGCTGTCGACTGACTTGCACCCGGTTTGGATTACTCTTTTGTCTTGCCCTCAATATACCTGTTTGCCATCGTCACAACCTTGCCTGTTTTTATGACCACACCTTTAAATAAAAGTTTTGCAGATGGATCCGCACGTCTCACATCTTGTTCACCCCGTAACAATAATGGCATTGGCTGCATTAGCCAAATACATGATTTTCACAATGAACTGTTTAGAGAGGCTTTTGAATTAATGCTTAGTTACATTTGCAGAGTTGTATGAATAATAATAATTGCTGTTAATATTGTTCATCAACTGTTTTATTACGTCTTAAATTGATTTTTAATTGAAATTGACGGCCATCGGGACAAGACCACGGCAACCAGATGAGTCCTCTGCACAATCTAACTTTGCTAAAGCATGGATCAACCTGGTGGTTTCATCTGGTCAGAGGAGAACTGGCCCCCCGACTGAGCCTGGTTTCTCCCAAGGTTTTTTCTCCATTCTGTCACCGATGGAGTTTTGGTTCCTTGCCGCTGTCGCCTCTGGCTTGCTTAGTTGGGGACACTTCATTTCCAGCGATATCGTTGACATGATTGCAAAGATATTATTTAAACTGAGCTGGATGCTGACATCACTGAAGTCTTTAACTGAAAAATTAGTGTTTACTATTGTCATTTTGCATTATTGACACACTATTTTCCTAATTAATGCTGTTCAGTTGCTTTGACACAATCTGTATTGTTAAAAGCGCTATATAAATAAAGGTGACTTGACTTGACTCGTCTGCTGAAGCACAGTCTTTTCCAGTGTTGGGAAGGTTACTTTGGAAATGAAATGGATTACAAGTGACCCCATTTAAAATGTAAATGCTAAAGTAATTACCTTTTTTGATTACTTTTCTAAGTTTCTAACGATTGTTTCTTACGACTGTTAATCATTTGAAATATGTAAACCAGGCAGGGTTAAAGGGTTAGTTCACCCAAAAATGAAAATTCTATCATTTAATTACTCGCCCTCATGTTGCTCCCGATATTAATTTAAACTGAGCTGGATGTTGACATCACTGAATTCAATGATGAACTGTCTTTAACTGAAAAATTAGTGTTTACTATTGTCATTTTGCATTATTGACACACTATTTTCCTAATTAATGCTGTTCAGTTGCTTTGACACAATCTGTATTGTTAAAAGCGCTATATAAATAAAGGTGACTTGACTTGACTCGTCTGCTGAAGCACAGTCTTTTCCAGTGTTGGGAAGGTTACTTTGGAAATGAAATGGATTACAGATTACAAGTGACCCCATTTAAAATGTAAATGCTAAAGTAATTACCTTTTTTGATTACTTTTCTAAGTTTCTAACGATTGTTTTTAACTGTTAATCATTTGAAATATGTAAACCAGGCAGGGTTAAAGGGTTAGTTCACCCAAAAATGAAAATTCTATCATTTAATTACTCGCCCTCATGTTGCTCCCAACCCATAAGACCTTCGTTCATCTTCGGAACACAAATTAAGATATTTTTGATGGAATCTGAGAGCTCTCTGACCCTCCATAGACAGCAATACTATGATCAACGCAAAGAAACATAGCAAGGACACCTGTAAAATAGTCCATGTGACATCAGGGGTTCAACTATAATTTTACGAAGCTACGAGAATACTTTTTGTGTGCAAAGAAAACAATAATACAGATTCTAATACCAGATTCTCCTCTCAACCCTATTGGAAAATGGCATCTCAGGAACCGCACGCCAGTGGTTTGAGTCTTACCTCTCAGATAGGTTCTTCAAGGTATCTTGGAGAGGTGAGGTGTCCAAGTCACAACATCTAGCTATTGGGGTGCCTCAGGGCTCAGTTGGACCACTTCTCTTCTCTGTCTACATGGCATCACTAGGTTCTGTCATTCAGAAACATGGCTTTTCATATCACTGCTATGCTGATGACACTCAACTCTACCTCTCATTCCATCCTGATGATCCGATGATAGCTGCTCGCATCTCAGCATGTCTAACAGACATTTCTTGTTGGATGATGGACCATCACCTTCAACTCAACCTGGCTAAAACAGAACTGCTTGTGGTTTCAACAAACCCATCACTTTATCAAAATTTCACCATCCAGTTAGGCTCATGAACCATAACTCCTTCAAAAACAGCTAGAAACCTTGGAGCCGAAAAGAACACATGTCACACCTCTGTTCATCAATTTGCACTGGCTACCAGTAGCTGCTCACATTAAATTCAAGGCATTAATGTTTGCCTACAAAACCACCACTGGCTCTGCACCCATTTACCTAAATTCATTACTTCAGAGTACCCTCTAGACGCTTGCATTCTGCAAGTGAACGGCGTATTATTGTGCCATCTAAAAGAGGCACAAAATCACTTTCACTGACTTTTTCACTAACTGTTCCCTCCTGGTGGAATGACCTGCCCAAATCAATCCGAGCAGCTGAGTCCTTAACCATCTTCAAGAAACGACTAAAAACATCTGTTCCACCTTTATTTGACCCTCTAACTCTAACACTTTCTATTCTATTTCAATTATACTTTATCTAGATCTATACTTTATTTAAAAAACAACAAAAAACAAACACTAGCTTTCTATTTTTTCTATTCTATCTACTTGTTTTTCTTTGTTTGTGTGTGTATAATATATAAATATATATACACCTTGCTACGTGTACTGCGTTAGGCTAACCGAGACTTGTCATTTGCACTTATATATTGTTGCTCTTTTGTTAGTTTTGACTGCTTTTATTGTCCTCATTTGTAAGTGGCTTTGGATAAAAGTGTCTGCTAAATGACTAAATGTAAATAATAATTTATTCAGCAGTTCTTCTCCCCGAGTTACTGTCTTCCGCCATTTTGGAGAGTACCCCAGAACATCATCTGTGCTGTTTATTTTCAGTAAAAAGGGCGCGCATGCTGAACTGTATTAATATAAGCATATTATTCCGTGTCATAAACTCCTGAAACATTGGTCAATGCAATTTGGGAAAGAAATCAATCAAATCACTGTGTGTGAAAATATACAGATGTAACCTCTTTTGTAACCACGAAATAAAGTTAAGTGTAGTACAGATTGACAAAATCACTTCAGGATAGTTGAACACATTTGCTGTGCAGCTAATCTTAAAATGGGTAGATGTATAAATCGAATTATTGGCCATCGAAAGTTAGAGATCATAAAATTATATTTTATATATATAAAATATAATTTATGTACAAAAAAAGAACAACAAATGTCTAGGTGAACTACACTAAAAATAAATAATTATAAATATATAATTAAATAATTACAACAGAAAACCTTCTTTGGTGGAGTGCAATAGCATGTACTTGAATTGTTAAAAACACTGCCATTCCATACTTCAATTGTGCCTATCCTTCACAACATAAAATATCGCTAAAATATTTATATAGCAATAAAATCCATTGCGCCTATATTGAGGTTTATTAAGTGAATGAGCTAAGCAATGCCTACTGATTTTTTAATTTAAAAGAACTAATAATAATAATTATTATTAGGGACAGTGGTTAGTTCAGGAAATAATGTGGAGAAGAGGTGGAGACTCATGTCATCTGTCTGAGCAAAACCACAAAATGTGGCCGCATGTGGACTCACTGCACAGCCATGGTGACAAAACTGATGTTATTCCCTTTCAAGATTTCGCTCTTGGCTGAATAACTGGATATGTTAAATCACAAGCTGACTGAGAGAGAAAGGAGCCAAAAAAAGGTGTATGCAATATGTTGGTGTCTATACAGTGTGAGCCAGACTGGGCCATAGCTCCATAAAATACAAGGCAGTATGACTGATGTTATATTAAACATCATGAACAAAGATTTGCATGTTCTCTAATAGGATGCACTTTGTAAGCATTTAATTTTTATAGGCAGTGAGAACTCTGTACGCATACATACCTTATCGCCGAGATCGATCTTGGTGAAGCTGAATGTACTGAGGTGGGCATTGGCTTCTTTGATTGCTGGCTCGATTGTTTCTTTAAACAGCTTCTCCACAAACTGACACACGTAAGGCCACATCTGTTTCACTGTCTGAAAGGCAAAGTTCAAAAAAGTACCTGCTCAGTACTATGCAACTGAGTAAACTGAGGCACTTAAGGCATCTTAATTTCTTACTATTACTGACTTAAGTATGATAAATAAGCTGCTCTGAAACTCGTTAGTTATCAGAAAAGTTTAACTGTTGTTTTATACCCTCTTGACTACATTTGCTAAAAACAAAATCTTCAGTGTGTGTACAACACATTTTTCCACAACAAGGTTGTGACACAAGGTTCACAGTTTTCATTTAAAAGGCTAGAGGACATGTTGTAACTTGACTAAGTGTAAATACTCCAGGCATTTGGAAACTATTCTCCATGACAACAGAACAGGTAGCCATACTGGGAAGGCACAAACAGAAATATTAAAAAAATTAATGTAGGATACCATGTCTGAGAGCAAAGAAATAACATCTAAAACCTTTGAAATAAGTTAGCGATGTAGATAGTCAAATAATGAAAAAGAGACAGAATTAATTATATCACATGTATGAGCTTTAAAATGCATGTGTGAAAGTTTAGGTTGTAATATTAGTATGATACAGTACTGTGAGAGTTTTTATCCTTCTCAGTTTTGTCATGTTTAAAAACATCAGTGATTCTGCAGTGTTTCATGTAAATAGTTTTGCATGATTTTGAATGTTGCAGACATTCTTTGCAGAAGCATGAGGCCATTCAGGCACATAAATTACACCGCTGGGCAAAATGTTAATGAAATATTCAAATCCGGCATGTTTTTGAAGGCTGTGAGCCACTGAATGTATATGTATAATGAATATTTTAAAAAGCCACTGATTTTGACACAGAGGGTGAAAATGGTTGCTACGTGTAGTGTAACATGAGCAAAGCACACTGGATTATAGCACCAGTGTACAACCAATGTCCCCCCCCCCCTCCCCCCACATAGAGAGCGAGAGAGTATCAGATTCCAGAATATTGACTGCAGACCCATGCATGTATACGAGAGTGCTGGATTATGATTACTTAGAAATTATTAAGAAACAGGCAATTATTATCTAATAATTCTCTCACCTTATTTAGCCACTCAACTCTCTCCACATCTGGATAATGAACCTGGTGGAGAGATAGACAATTATATCATATTAATAAAAGAGAGAGGGAACAAGACTGCTTCTGTAAATGTGCTGTAAATGTGCTGCGGTGTCTTTGAAGAAACCCCTCAGGCTATTACACACATGCACATTCTTGGTTAACAGATGGCATAAAAAATTATAATTCAATGTATGACAAAATAAAAAGACTTCCTGTCTAAACATGTGAAAGGTTCTCTATACCAAAAAATGGCGCCCATGTGTATTCTCTCCTTTTCTTTCACTTCAGTGGTATTATCATGTCTATATGTAGAGCAATAGGGTCAGGGATGAGCATAGCTGCAGTCAAATCCCTGTAAGCGTAAAATGCTTAGCCTGCATTTGTTTCATGCAGTGGGAGGGACCAAGGGTGACCGTGATTTCACCAAATACAACATGTTCCTGGAACAACATCCAATCAACCAATCAGAATTGAGGGATCATTTTTCAGGAAATATCTGTTTTAGGCTTACAATCATGGTTAGGTGCTTCTACACCCGTGTTAATCAGCTATCATTTCACTATAATTTTAGGAATACATTCTGGGTAGGGTTAGGTTTAGGGGTAGGGATTGGGTTAAGTCTATATTTTTGGACAGTAATGTTGATCCAAGATCAACAAAAGATGTTGATCTTGGAACGTGTCTTATACTTGGCAAAATCACGGTGACCGGGAGCAAGATGATACACCAACACTGCACTTTTTTCCATTTCTAAAGCAGTGCCATACAATAAAAATCAATGACATCACTGGGGTCCAGCATTTTTGTTGTGGGGTCAACAAAAATGTGGGGTCCCACTGACTATCATTATATGAACAATAAAGTTTCTTCAAAATATATTTTTTTGCGTTTTACAGAAAAAGAAGTCACACAGGTTTGAAACGACATTCTCGCATAGCCAGATCTTCAGACTGACGGCAGAAGGTCTGGAAACCTTGGACACTTTCAATGGCCAAGGACCACCCAAGAGGCCATATGGCTGACAGGTAAAGCAAGCAATAACGTTTCATTTTGTGCTGCGTCATGTTTAGGGGCGTGAAAATGTCTCCACAATAACAGACCGGTGTGTAAAACTCTTGGACGTATTTTAAAGATTCTATGCCGCGAACTTTACATGTTTCACGTACTTTTATAAATCCAGCTTTTAGATGATCCTGATAAGTGCTCATTGTCACAGTTGTAAACACGACGGATTTCTTCTTTCATGAGGGGGTTTGGCGTCACGGCATCATTGTTTCCAGGCGGAATGTTAAAGAACGCGACACGCATGTCTCCCGGAATTCTTGTATAATTTAACCAATCAGATGACGACTTCGAAACTCCCGAAGCGTTTCCAATTTTGTGTGCCGTATGCATCAGATGTTCAGCCAGCGGTCTATGGCCATGACGTTTGAGGCCGAGACTAGGAATGACATGGCGGTTAGTAAATTATGTCAGAATCAGAATCGGGTGAACTACCCCTTTAATTTATCAGGTATCAAAAACACAATTTTTTTCCACCCAACTGGCACTGTGATGCCACAAAGAACTTCTGAGATTATGGCTACGTTGATACTCCATGCCTTATTTTGCTCAGATGCATTTTTTTGTTTGGACATTCACATATTTGTAACAGATTCAAGTGTGAACTGGTCCTGAACGATCCCACATGCACAAAAGAATAGCAAAGACATCACACAGCATACTGTCATACAGAAGTAAATGTGGAGGCCACTGAAGTCAGTGTTTATGCATTCATTTATAAGATGATGTGCAGCAAGAGCCAGCAAATTTGTGAGCAGGCAATAGGGAGGACAAGGATGAGGAGAAAGAGAGCAAAGTTTTTCCTCATATAGTCTTACCTCAAGTTTTGATTGTGTTGAGCTGTAACTGTAATACTTCTATAACAACTCACTTTCTCTCCACTGAATAGCTTTGCCGCTTTCTTCCACATTCTGGTATGTAAAATCTTTGCAGTGACTCCCATTAACTGAGAATTTTTATTGAATGTTAATCATAAAACTCTCATGATTTATGATATGACCATTCAGACTGAGGTCGCAGCAGACCTCTGACTTATGACCGAAAGTGGCCTAAACCAAAATGAAAAAGATCAGATTTCATGTGGTTTGTGCTGTTCACATTGCTATAAAAACAAAACCAGATCTGAGTCTATTAGCAAAACAAAAAAACAGGATTTCAGACACTTTTGCCTGTCTGAATGTAGACTTACTGACCACAAAAGGACCCTGTAATTTAACATCTTACAACTGAAACTTTAAATTACAAACAAATGCCACACACAAGCAAAACAAATGTATAGGACACATTTGAATCTCATCACTATGGTAACACAGCTGCAAAACCATAAACGCTTCTCTCCAAGACATTAAGCAAAAGCTGAAAGGAAAATCTCAGGTAAGCCACATCAGTTTACCTGAGAATACAACACTCTCAGCCTGAAAAGAGAATGCGTTTGTGGCACCCATAAGGCTAACCTCCTTCTGTATGTCCTATAAAAGTAACATTGTAATCTCAAGAGGCAAAATGGGGATGTGGGACTTCCGTCTGCAGTGCAATCACTCTGAATTTATTTTAATCGCAAAACAGTGTTGGTGCACAGCACTTTCCTCAGCAAGCTCTCCTACTGACATATTCTAGTATAACCATCAATCAGGGCAAATAGGTTTGGACACAGCTAGATCTACTACACCCAGCACTAGACTTTGGGTGTCCCTCCAAATTGAATACTGACTATTTTGTTTAGTATTAAAGATATGTGGGAAAGACACTGAAAGTTCCCATGGTAACTGTGTTTCTATGGTCACTAGAGATCTCTGAGGATTTCTCAACATCGACAAGACCATAGACAGATATCTATGAGAATGCTCCTTTAAAAAAAAATCTGTCTAGAGATGAAACAGATTGTAGAGTTACCACAGTAATATAGAGATGTAAAGACTATGGATTCTTGACAGTGACATAATTGAATGAGAATGTGATATTCTGTGATGTTTCAAAAAAGCTTGTCCCTATCTGTTTCAAAAAAACTTGCTTGTGATCACTGGCATATATTAGAATGCTTTTAAATGCATTTACATATTTATTTTGTAACATGGATGCAACAGTATATACTTTGAACTCTGCAATGCATTTAATTAGACATTAGTAGCAAGCTTGAAGCTTTTAGGCAAGAGATAGACCCATGTCATTTAAGACAGCACTTCCAGAGAACCAAGAAAAAAAATATATTTTCTTCAGGTATCACACACTTTCCAGGGACCACAGAGAAACTGGACAAACAAGTCATCAGTGTTTCAAAAGATACTTCTTGGTTTAAAAGCATGGCACCACAAAATGTGAATAATCACAGAATCCATAACACCACGGTTGTGAAATATTTTCTTTAAAAAAACAACAACAACTTCAAACTCATAAACCAGTTCAACAGACTTCTAATCTCACACAGACAAGTTTACTCCTGCCAGAATGTAATTTGATTAAGGCTCCAGAGCAGTTGAAGACTAAATGAAGTAGATATGGTAGTGGGTCGGTATGAGACCATGTAATGAAAATGTATCTGATAACTGACTAACACTACACTACACTTAATATGACACTTTGGGTGTCCATCATTGGAAATCCCATATTGATTGACCACTTATTTATTGGGGGGGAATCTAACACTTTAAAAACACACCCAGTTAAAATGTGAAAAAAAGTAAAGAAAAATACAATCATATGTCCTTATTAACAAAAGTATTTCACAATAAAATTACATATAATGCAGAAACCAGTTCAACAGACTTCTAATCTCACACAGACAAGTTTACTCCTGCCAGAATGTAATTTGATTAAGGCTCCAGAGCAGTTGAAGACTAAATGAAGTAGATATGGTAGTGGGTCGTTATGAGACCATGTAATGAAAAGGTATCTGATAACTGACTAACACTACACTACACTTAATATGACACTTTGGGTGTCCATCATTGGAAATCCCATATTGATTGACCACTTATTTATTGGGGGGGGGATCTAACACTTTAAAAACACACCCAGTTAAAATCAGAAAAAAAGTAAAGAAAAATACAATCATATGTCCTTATCAACAAAAGTATTTCACAATAAAATTACATATAATGCAGTTTTTTTTGCCATACATGGTAAGGTAATTACAATTAACTACTTCATTGTTATTTACAGTTTTACATGCTGCAGTGTTACATTTTTATAAACTGCAGGTCAGTGAATCCTCATTTTCAACTACGCAGACTGACCTTGGTCCTCACCCGTCAGGTCAAAATATCTCATTACATAACATATATTTACTTTGTTGCACTTGGCTTTTGATCCCAGCCATGATGAGCATAGGCTCAAGATAATGCTTATATACAAGATAAAAATAGACAGAAAATTGGCAGAGACACATGCTGCATCATTTGGAATAACACTGTTCACCTTCACAGGCGAAAGGGCAAAAAGTCTTGGTCTGCCTCATGACTGACAGCCTGGGGTCAGCTGGGATCCAAACTTAGTCATGTTTCATGCACTCAGAGTTTGCTGAATGGACACAACATTGAAACCAAACAAGATGTCCTAATGTAATAAACCTGGATGAAGCAAAACAACTCTGAACAAGAAAATATATTGTGTTTATCAAATTTCTAACTAAACAAGTTGTCCATCAATCTCATCAAATTCCACTAAAGACAACCCATTCTGTCTTTTTAGTCCAGCTTTATAATTTAGAGAATAAAAATAAACTCCCTCTTAGTTTTCCGTTCTTTCTAGCGTGCTCTCTGTGATGTTTTGAAACAAGTTAAATGTTATCAATGAACGCCGAGTTTAACTCACCCATGATGGTAACTCAGTTGCCTCCAGCTCCTGTTTAACTGTGTCCTCTTGCTCAAAAAACGAAAGTGCTCTATTCAACCTAGTGTTCTTACACCTAGTGTTTCTTTTCCAAAAGAAAAATATAGTGAGGGCGATTAAAAGCCAACTAAAACTGAACTCAAAATAACCCAAGACATATATGGGGAAGATAACGACGAAGGTCTTGGCGAACTGCAGCCACGTGCGCGTCAGTTCGCTGGTGCAGGACGCGGAGTCCTGGCTCAGCTCCGCGGGTGAGGAGGAAGGAATCGCCCCGTTTGTCGGTTCAGTTTGTCCGCTATCCTTTTGTCCCGAGGCACCTGCTGTTTGAGAAAGATTTCGGCGCACAGCCGTCATTATGTCCTCTGTCATGTTCAGCGCGGACG